GGGGGGGAGGGGGAGAAAAGAGGATAACATATAGGAAAGAAGAAGAAAAGGATTTGATTTTTCTTACGTTTCTTCAGAGAGACGGAACAGCAAAGATGGAAGGAGAAAGTAAGTTAACTCAGAAAGATAGGGTTAGGCAGAACCTACACCAAGCTGCTCTCCCTTCTGAGGCAGGAAAAGAACTGAGCCTAGGGTGACTCCCACTACAAGAAACAGGAAGTAACTGAAATTAGTCCTGCCTCCCTAAGTGATGGATGGGGATCACCCAGAAGATGTCCTCCACCTCAGAGAGAGAATGAGCACAAAATGGCTGCCATGGGTGAAGAATAGGAATCCAACTGAAGTGTTGTCCTATGAAGGAGACAGCTGCTTCTGGATGGGCACTCCCTGAAGACCAAAAGGAGATGCCTCCCGAAGTACCTCCTGCTCCAATGAAGTTGAAGACAGCCAGGATTGGCTCTTTGCTTTGAGGAGAAATCAAATGAATGCCAGGAAGCACACAGGTGGGCACCATGGCACCTATGGATGGCATGTAGGGAATCACTGTGCTAGACTCTTCAGGTAGTCTTCTCTCCCACCACTCACCTGAGACGCTGCCCAGCAGAGAGCAAGGATTCCCGATAACAGAAAGACGGGAAGAGCAAATGCTGCAGTTGCCTCTCCTGGGCAAGAACAACTGCCCGATGCTGAACCCGTAACGGCAGACGATTGAAGGTGAAAGTCACATCAAACTTCATGTTATCGATGAACAGGGACCTCAGCCTGCGAACAAGAAAAGGGGCTGCTGAGTATGAGCAAGCAACAAAGCACCTTAGCTAACCTATTAAGGAACGGGCAATCATCATCTCATTTCTAACACAGGAAAGCAAGTGGTCACTTACTTTGGGGAGAAGCCCAGCTTGACTTTTTCGAGTTCCACAGCATGTACATAGCCCTGGTACCGGAGAACTGGGCTCTGTTCACGATTATCAGCCAAAGTCACAAAAAGATGATCACCTCTCAGTACCGATGGGCGGTTCTCAGCCACACCAGGTACCTGGAGCAGAGAATAACGGCAGTTTTACACACAGAGAACGGGTATGTGCTCTGCTGCATTCCATCTTCATGATTTCTATAAGAGCTCCATAACCCTAATGAGTTACAGATATTCACTTGTATCCTACCATTTCTACAAAAATTTGCTTCATCATCATAGTAACCCTAACAAGTACAGCCAAGAGGCAGTGACTTACCCAAGGCTGCCCACCAAGCTACATAGATAAGCACTAGGGTTCCCAACCTCCAGGTAGTGGCAGGGGATCTCCTGTGATTACAACTGATCTCCAGGCAATAGAGACCAGTTCACACAGATAAAATGGCTACTTTAAAAGGTGAACTTTATGGCATTATATCCCCACTGAAGTCCCTCCCCTCCCCAAACCCCACCTTCCTCAGGCTCCACCCCCAAAATCTCCAGGTATTTCCCATCTTCGAGCTGGCAGTCCTACTAAGCAGAGATCTGAAAACTGGTATTTCACAGGCAAACCTAGAGTTCTTGTCAGTACACCACACTGGCTCTTGGTTGTTTTAATCCTGACTTGGGAGTATGACGGGCTGATGGAAACGGAGCTGACAGGCAGGTAGGGAACATCTCTTCCTAGGTGGCACAAGGTAAAGAATACTGTTCTCTGAGCCCAAAGCCATCTCACCTTCAGGACAAGCAGATTCCTATTCTGCCGATCGGCCTCCATGCAAACGTTCTCCATGTCGTATCGGCGGATGTCCACCTCCATTTGTATTTCTTCCAGGTGAAGCAATAATTTAAACTTCTCGGAATAATTGTTAAACTCCAGGGTGGCTTTCAGATCATTCCTGAAAAAGTGCAGCAAATTTTACTTAGTAAGTCTTGCTGCTCATCACAACAGATGGATCTACAAATTTTGTTCAGGAATGACAGGAGCTTGAACGGAAGAGCAGTTTTTGCTCCTTGCCCCAAGAACAAACCTTTACTGTATTGTTTAAACTTTTGGTTTGTTCCCTTCTGTCCTGCTGTTTTCATGCATTTGTAATACACGTTCAGCTTTGTTCTCTTGGGATGATGGCACTGGGTTAATTAACCTCTGCTATGTGCAGGAAAAAAATTACTGATTTGGTATTGGTATCAGAGCCACCCAAGACAAAAACATCTTTACAAAAAATAGATGCATATGATAATACAGCAGTACAGACCTAGCAAAGAACAATGTTTATTTTAGCCATGCTTGGTATGTGAAACCAAGATTCATTTTAGAGGCTACAAGTCAGTCCTAGCTTGCTTCAAGAAATCCTGATTTCAGAGCATTCTTGGTTTCCTCCCCACAATGGAGTTGCTGTCTTAGCCTGCACTACAACATCCAGCTAAGAGACACTTTCACCATCATACCTTGCTTTCTATTGGTCAGTGTTACTTCAGGGCCATAAATTCACAGACACCCTTTTCCCTGACACCAAATAAGGCGACATCCCAGTCGAACTGAACCAAGTACACAACAGTTTCCAAGGGACCAATGAAATACCCCCATCACCCCTATGGAGGAACTGCATAGTTGGATATAGGGGTGTACAAAAACAACAACAACAGCAACGGTATTTTTCGGCTTCTGGTAAATCAGACCTGAAAAATATTGGTAAATGCTGAGTTTTCCCAGTCCAATACCAGTAAAGTATTTGGACTGGGGAAATATTCAGTATTGCTGAAAACGTTCGGGTCTGATATACCCCACCAGAGGAAAAGAAGGCATGTTAAAATGCCTTCTTTCCTCTGGTAGCCCCTGCAGATTTCCTTGGCAATTTCACTCCCCGCCAGTCAGCTGTTAGGGAAATTGACAAAGAGAAAGCCTCCCCTTCTCTAGCTAACCTGGGGTAGCTGGAGAAGGGCAGGTAGGGAGCCCAGGCATGTTTCCTTGCCTGCCCTTTGGTTCCCAGCTGGCCCAACACAGTGGGCTGGCTGAGGAAGTGAAGAGCAAGCATGAAAATATGCCTCCTTCCCTCTGTGAGCCTCTCAGCTGCTGCGGAGAAACTCAGGGAGGGGAGGGAAGGTCAGAGGAGACATGTTTAAATGCCTTTCTTTCCCTCTCTGATCTTGGGGAGGGAAAGAAAGGCATTTAAACGTGCCCCCCCACTTTCCCTGCCCTCCCCAAGTTTCTCTGCTGTAGCGGAGAGGCTCAGAAAGGGAAGGAGGCATTTTTTCCATGCCTGCCCTTCCCTTCCCCAGCCAACCCGCTGCAGCAGGCTGGCTGGGGAAGCGAAGGGCAGGCATGGAAACCTGCCTGGGTTCCCTGCCTGCTCTTCTCTAGGTGCCCCAGAGAAGGTCAGCCAGGGAACCTAGGCATGTTTAAAACGCCTTTCTTTCTCCACGAGATCGGGGAGGAAAAGAAAGGCATTTAAACCCAACAGCTGACTGGCGGCTCAAGGCTGTTAGGAACGGACTCTTTGTATTTGGTATAGCAGAATGATAATATCAGCTTCTTTAGGTTCAGCTATACCGGTATACCCAATACCCTATGGAGGAACTGCACATGATACCCGAAAAATACCAACAAGATATTTTTTTGGCTCGGCTTTTGCCGAATGCACACCCCTAGTTGGGTACAGACCAGTACTTATTGCAAATGACATCTCTTACCCGAATGGATTCAATAAGCAAGTTTTGAGGGGGGAAAAAAGCCCCTGTTAAGACATAGGACTGACAAATCCTGTGTCTAGTAAGCATAAAAGGACTGGTAGAGCTGAGAAGAAAATTGTCAAAGAAGAACTTCATAGTTTACAGGCACTTACCGATGCTTGGCAAACATGGCACGGGAGCCATAATTGGGTGCATGGCCCTCCTGAAGGTAACTGACCATGTCCTTCAAGTAGGCTGGATACTGGTATTTGTCTAGAGGTATTTCCTGTTCAAGTTCATACTGTTCAGAGCTGGAGATGTAGGATGCATATATTAAACATGAGCTTATGTCAAGTCAGGGCATTGATCAGAGCCACAGTTTTAGTAACGCTACCATTTAGGCACATTTTCTACCAACAGATTGTTACCTGTTGCATGGACAGCCTGTACTCTTTGCCTACTAATTCAGTAGCCAGAATAGGCCAAAACCAGGATAATCAGGGAAGTATTAAAATCTCTGCTCAGATTTCCAGGATGGCCTAAGGACAAATCATAAGAACATAAGAGACGCCAATGTTGGATCAGGCCAAAGGCCCATCCAGTCCAACACTCTGTGTCACACAGTGGCCAGAAATACCAGTGCCATCAGGAGGTCCAGCAGTGGGGCCAGGACATTAGAAGCCCTCCCACTGTTGACCCCCCCCCGCAACAAGAAGACAGAGCATCACTTGCCCCAGAGCCCCTAGCTATACCTTGTGGCTAATAGCCACTGATGGACCTCTGCTCCATATGCTTATCTAATTCCCTTTTGAAGCCATCCATGCTTGTAGCACCCACCACTTCCTGTGGCAGTGAATTCCATGTGTTAATCACTCTTTGGGTGAAGAAGTACTTCCTTTTATCCGTTCTAACCCGACCGCTCTGCAGTTTCATGGAGTGCCCACGAGTTCTTGTATTGTGAGAAAGGGAGAAAAGTACCTCTTTCTTTACCTGCTCTTTCCCATGCATAATCTTATAAACCTCGATCATGTCACCCCTCAGTCGTCTTTTCTCCAAGTTAAAGAGCCCTAAGCGCTTTAACCTTTCCTCATAGGGAAAGTGTTCCAACCCTTTTATCATTCGAGTTGCCCTTTTCTGCACTTTTTCCAAAGCTATAATATCCTTTTTAAGGTGTGGTGACCAGAACTGCACACAGTATTCCAAATGAGGTCTCACCATTGATTTATATAGGGGCATTATTATATTGGCTGATCTGTTTTCAATACCCTTCCTAATAATCCCCAGCATAGCATT